GTCGTAGAAGTGTTAAGCTTCTTGTCTTTCACATATATATGCTTGCAAGTTTTACTGCGTTCAATAAATTAAGAACTGAACTGTCATAATTAATCATTTCTAATTTCTATCGGACGTTTATAAGTTCTGTAATTAAACATTCTACTCTACACAACGGTATAAGGGATTTTTTTTTTTTTAATTTATTTACCGATAACCTTCTTTTCCTCAATTGAGCGGACATGACTATAGTCATGTACAAAATTGTTATGGCTACATAAATTTTTTAATATTGTTTTTAAAATTATTAATTTTGTTTGATTTAACTGTTAAGATTTTAGGAATCAAGATTTTAGGAATCAGCTAATAAATGTAGACTCTCTTTAGTATTATTGTGAATTTAAGTTTTTATTTTTATAAATTTTACAATTATTGATAATCAAAATAAAAATTAAAAATTAAAAATTGTTAAAAAAAAAAAATTTAACACTACCAACTAAAAATATTCATACATTTAATAGTGTTAAATTATTTTTGTTCTTATTTCTTTACTATATAATCATTATAATTATACGTTGCAAATGCATGTAAAAATAAATGAGTTTTTATTGACCATTGCAGGACTATCAAATTTTGTTGCATTTAAATTAGTCCTTTATTCTTTTTATTTTTCAATTTTATGCACTTTCAATTTATTTTATTTTTCAAGTTATATAAAAAATAAAAATTGACTTTAATTTTGTCAATTATTATAATTAATTAAAATAATACATGTAATATCAACACTAATTTAATGTCAACTTTCTTTTCATGATGTAATAGGTAAAAGATGCATTAATTTTAATTTATCTTAAACCTGTGCCCAAATCATGCGAATACCATTAGTTTTTGGAGGACATCTCTGAAAAAATGAAAAAAAAGTTACGACACGTTTTTCTTCTTGTTATGCCTTTTTTTTATTAACATAATTGGTAGTTAAATAAAGGAAAATGTATTATATAATATGTTAAACTAAAATGCATACCAATTATTGTTCTTGAGACTATCAAAATCTATTGTATATAAATTACTTTATTCTTTCAAAAAATTATTATACAATTTAAATTACATGATAAAAACAATTAGATAAAGGGTTGACTCTATTATCTCGGACCCTCCCCATCCAACTATCTCAAGAAACTTTTATTCTTTATATAGAAATAGTCATGACATTAAAGCACAAACATTCATTCTATTAGTTATAAGCTTGTTTGTAGTTAAATATATAGAGAGGTGATCTCAACTATTGTAATTAATTTCAGAATGAATTCTCATATGACATGATATTAGAAAGAAAACTAGACAAATTATTGTTAGAAAAAAGTTCTATGGTAAACACATTGGAGTGGGTGCTAGGTAATGGATCATTGAGGTTATTTGAGCGAAAAGCAATAGTGAGGGAGTAACAAGCATTAATTATGCATTAATTATATATATATACACTATCTTTTTTAAATTTTAATT